GGCCGCGTAGTAAAAATATAATAGTGTGCAAACATGCATAACTATTTGCAATTAATGGATAATTATGAATTAATTCAGAATCACAGGCATAAAAATATAATTACACAATTAGGGGGAGAAACAAAAATCAAGTTACACAAAAAATTCTTCTCCAGATCCGCACTTTAAGAACCACTGCTGTAAGGTATTCTTAAAGACTGAAACCAGTTTTTGAATCCTTTCATGCCTGGAATTCATTCGTATCCTTTCACTACGAAAATCCACTAGAATATATAAATTTCTAAATAAAAACATTAAATAAACAGGAAAAGAGGGATACGGGAGTATAAGTGCATTTGACTGCATTAACTACCTGACGTTAGGAGCTTAATTAGCATCATGTGATCCCTGAGTGGTTTGCCGATGCACGATTTGCTGAGCTTCAGATGCGAAAGAGTTGTAAGAGTTCGTTGTAAGAGTGAAGACTTGGAAGTCGGAAGCTGACTTAGAGAAAGTTAATTTAAACTCAGACTGCTTTGTACAGGAGTTTAATTTAGATGAGATATGTTAGGAAGTGCCCTTTAGGCATTAATTCAGTTTTATTCTTGTTATTGTAAATGCAGCTAAGCAGGGTGAACATGTCTGTCAAGTGAAGTTAAAACAACTTTGAAACCTTAAAAAAAGGTGGGGGGTGGCAAATACCTAATTACTTCGAATTTAAACCTGAGCAGGATTTTAATATTAGAAAATTGGAAAACAAATATTAAAAAATAGCCGCCTTTGTAAAAAGATTAGCCGCCAGTAGGATTTAAAAAACTTGACGAACTAAAAAAATAAAAAATAAATTTTTTTATAATAGGTTAAAAAATGATAAATATTTTAATTTACTTCAGTAGTAGTAATATAAATAAATATAATAAGCTACCAAACTGGTTCAGAATATTTTTTAAGTATACCATTACATTCGAAACTTTATAACTCGAATTCTCATCTTCACTATTTCACCAGAGCTCATAATTTTTAATGCCATTTAAATAATTAATAATGCAAAATTTATTTATTTATTTATTTTTAAGCTCAACGAGGCGCTAGCCTAGAACAGCTGGTATTCTCCAAATGACATTTTGCGTCGAATCACTTCTGTAAAATTTTCCAAATTGTTACCACCAAGTATTATCGCTCTGTATTATATTTAAAGAAATTAAATAATAAAGAATATGCACGAACTGCATGTTTCTTGCTTTGTGAAAAAACAACGGTACCTAGAGCCGTCAAATTCTGACCCGATTAGGAGTACCTGCAAGCTTGAATTTGGAATTTAGAATTTGTTTTATTGTCTATTTCATATTCTGTAAATCTTAAAAACACTTTTGACTAAAAAAACTCAAAGATTTCAAAGCGAGTAGTGGCAGCACAGTACAGAATAAAATATTTTTATCTCCAGCGGGCGGGACAATCTGCCAGATATTCCATAGATATGCTCTTCTTAAATATTTGCAACCCAAAGTGACATTATCCCAAACGCTCTCGAAACGTGTATGTGTCTGTGAAGGAAAAAACGGCCGTTTGGGCGTAATATAAAATCTGAGGAATTTGATATCGGAAGAAATAAGATGTTAAAACATTCGCTTTTAATTGAAGTCGCGCCCTAATTTTACGCGTTAAAATCTGCATTAAAAGTACTTCTTGAGTTCAAAATAATATCGTCATATGGAACAGAAAAATTGTATGTGATATATAATTTTGTTTCTTAACTTAGTGTCCAAAATTAATTAAAACCACATAAAATCTTCAAAAATGGTAATTCCTTGCAAGATTACTGTTATTTATTTGTTATTTATTATTAATATTTGTAATGTCTGTACGCATACAGGGCCTATTTTGATGTGTATGAAGATATTAAATATATCTAAAAGCTTGAAAATGTAGAAGAAATAACTGCTATTCATAAACATAAATAGACTAAATTAAACTTGGAGACATAAAATGATTTTTTTCTTAAAGAAAATACATACCCATAATTTAGATATATAAGAAATTCGTGTCTTGAGGAATTCAGCCCACAATAAAAGATCTCAATATTAACTTGTTCGCCATATCCGTTAAATCAGCGAATAATGCATATTTGTGAACAAACACTTTAGTTCTGAGTTGTAGAACAATTTTTACGCATGTCTAATGTTAATTAATTGAAAGGAATTTCCATACGGCGTATTTCATTATATGATATTTTCCACAGATGGCGATTACAATATTACTGAAATTTAACTATTTAGGCTTAAACACTGTTTTTAGCTAAATTTTATAATGTATTATGATATTATAAACGCTTCATTTCTATTTCCAATTAATGACAACGTTACTTGTTTAAATAATTCAAATTTCTAAAATACTTAAACAACCAAAGAGAATTTTAACCATTTTACAATAAAGGATTTCCATAGTTTTTAATAAAGAGTTGCAAGAACATTCTTCTAAATTTCTGGAGCACCTAAAATAAGCCATTTTCTAGCTACACAAGTTTCACATATACAAGTTTTCAAACGGTATAGTGGTTAGGGGAGCCTTCTGCGGTACCGAAGTGCTTGGGTCCGAATCCTAGAGAAGGCATGGATGTTTGTAAATGTATAGTGTCTTTGCGGCATGGGAGCATTCTAAATACACGGCGAGCGGAAAGTTCTCTAGTGCGATTTGGTGGTACGGTAGACGGATGGGAGACCCTCGGAATCATCGTCCCCCGGGGTGCTTTCCCTCAAAATTAGCGTGGAAATAGAAATCCAACCTCCTTGAGGCTCTGGTAACCATTCTTCCATGAAATTGATGGACATAACAACAACAACATATACAGGTTTTGTTCAGCTTAATTATAAAATAACCATATTTTAATTCATAATATTGCTAAAAATTAAATGATTTTCGCGAACAACGTGAGGAATAGTTATCTCAAGGTTTGCACCTCAGCCTATTGATGAATTACAGTATTTAATTTATTGTGAAATATGCATCCACTGCAAATCAGAAGTGGAGAATCATTTTGAGTGTGTTAAAAATTACCTAAGCTTTGCATTAAGTAAGCTATCCAAGTGTCCTTCTTCGAAACGTTAAATTTTTTCAATCATAATTATGAAGACATTTTTGTAAAAACCTAAATTACTGTAACTTTAATTAATAGACTTCGAGTTTAATTTTAAAATATTTTCTACAATCTGTTAACTATTTCAGGATAAAACTTTATTTTTTTCTATTAGACGGTGCTCATGTCAGTCCTTGGTAGAAAATTATCAAGCTTATTCGTTTGCTGTACATATTATAAGGTATTTTCTCCCTGCTTCGAGAACGCCTTCGTGGAATTCTAGCACACTCGGCGCATATTCAAGAGGTCCACGTTCGAGTCCCGACGACGGCATTACTCATTTTTCATCTCTGTCGCTTCCAAACACCCAAATAACTTTACAAGATGACTAATTTGGTTCAGCAATGACTACGCAAATTTTAGAAGAATTGTCATATGTAACAGGCTAGCAACTCCACGCGGGCACCTGTCAACTACGAATGGATTATGCTTAAACCGAAGATCGAGATTTAGGGAAGGGTTTTGGATGAAATTTAGAGTTCCAGTTGTAGCTAATCAAAACTTCTGAATTTATTTGTTTTTAAGGATGAGATGTAGATGTTAAGGCATATAGTTAAATTTATTTTGTTTTTATGTTTTATTTAATTTAGTATTTATTATTAATCCTAATTTTATCATTAAGTTTTTTCAACAGGGATTTTAGCACTTTCAATTTTAGAATGAAGTCCTGGGTTCTGAAGTATGGGTTTTTTACTTTTAAATAATTATTTTAAATAATATTTATGCCCGAAAATTATTTGAAATTTTTAATTACATGTGAAAATTATTAATTGCAGTATTCAAGGAAGTTGAAAAACTCGAAGTAATTGTTTCAAAGCTTCGGAGAAAAGACGATGAAATCAATATTTTTATGCATTTTCAGTTTGTGTTACTGATATTTCGTCGCAGCTAATTAATTCAGAAGTACCATTGGTAATTAATCTAATGCAGTGATGACATCATTGTGCAAGCCTGACCAGTTTACAATGCCTGAAACTCATAGAACTGGACAGGAATTTTGAATCAAATACATTCATTATAAAATACATTAAGCAAAAAGGAATCATAAGGTGATTTTTCAGCTTTAAAAGACGCCTAAACGAGTTGGTTTACACTTTGTAATCGACTTACGTATCATATATTTACATATATTACGACTTACATATTTAATTACATATATTATTTCATTTAGAAATGATAAATGAAATGTAAAGCATGCAAATTACCAAAAAAAAAAGTTTTTTATGGGTAATATAAAGCAACTTTGCCATAAGTTCCTTGAAAATATGCAACTTTGAGCACTAAATTGAATCATAGTTAGATACTTCGGTTGGTATTCAAAGAAACTGGATTAAATTGCTCTTTCGTCTTTAAGATGCTAAATTCTATATCGACAACCCCTAAAAATCAGTTTTAATTAAAATAGTAATTTTATTTTGAAATTATTTTATTTGATCTTAATAAAACTGGTTTTTAAAAGTTCCTCTTAAATGTGCATTATTACACAAATGAACTTTTTTAAACAGGAGAAGAAGGAATAAAAGTGTGAAGAAACGTAAAATAAATAATAACAAAAAAGCGTTTACATTGGAAATGTTCTTAATATTTTATACGGTTCATACGTGCATAAAAATCAACAAATTGCAAAGGAAGAAATAAATTTCTTCTTTATAATTCTCGATTGTTTACTTTCGGTGCCCTTTCTTCAAATAGCAATATTTGAGGAATTCTACGGTATTGCATTTAATAACTGTTTTACGACATGTTTAACTTTATTTACTAAAACAATCAGTGATGCACATATAGACCCAGAGGAGTATGAAAATAGTTAGCTAAAATAGCCACGTTTAAACTATATCAATTAAGGAGCAGTTCTTGTAATATAAATAAGGAAATGTTAAGTACTTACACAGCATTTTGATGACAGCCTTTCGGGAATTAGTTCCTGTTCCTCGTATGCTTCTTGTTGACTGTCGATTCAAGAGTTTCATTACATGCATCTTTTTCAATGAAAAATATTTCCCATTACCCTTCAGGGTCTCAGTTTGTTCGATGACAGTTTCAGAAGGAATTTGGATGGCGCTGTCAGATGCTCTGAGTTGGATTCCTATCCAGGCGTACAACAGCGAAATTACGATCATTGGTATAATAAAGAATACGAAGGTTGATGACACAAAAGCATGTTGCACTGGATTTTTTACTGTACATTCAGCGGTATCGTATATCAATTGTCCTCTAAAATCTTTGATGACAATTCCAAACTGTATAGCCATGGGTATTGCAGACACACCTCCGATGATCCAAACCGCAACAATAACATACACTGCTCTGGAGAGTTTGGACATTGTGTGTGTCTTCAGCGGATGACATATGGCTAAGTATCTTTCCATAGTAAATGAAGTTATAGTGAGAATTGAAGCATTTGTTGACATTTCCGAGGTGAACCCTCGAATGATACAGAAAGCTTCTCCAAATACATACGGATACTTATTCCATAAAAGATACAGTTCTTGGGGCAGGCCCATCACCAGCAGAAGCAAGTCCGATATGGCTAAGCTAAATAAATAATAGTTGGTGGCCGTGCGCATATGCTTGTTCCGTATGATGACGACGCAAGTACAGATATTTCCTACAAGTCCTGTGAAAAGTATAAGGATATATATGACTGTGATAGGAATGACCGATGTCAGAGAATCTCTTTTCGGTCCTAAATCGAAAACATAGGATGTCAAATTATCATGATCTTCCTCGAAGGAGGGAATAGTCGTAAAGTATCTCACTAAGTTTGACACGTTTAAGCCTAGACTAGGAGGAGTATTATTCTGAGGTATAGCCATCATTCAGAATATTGTTATCTTTAGTAGGAAAACTTATCTCACGGATGCTATTTGATAAGCTAAATTTAAGTTTACCGGTGTTAACATATTGACAGCACTGGCATCGGAAACTGAAGTGGTACAAAGAAGTGTAAACATGGAAGAGTGTCTGGATAGATAACCGGCAAGTCTCAATAGTGAGACCGACAAGCGAGTGTAAACACAAATTTGCATCTGTGATTATTTAAAAAAAGAAAAAAAAAAAAGGAGAAAGAAACTTCGAGTTCCCTCGTGCGGTGATTTTTCGAACCACGCGTTTATCCTGGTCTGACTGGAGTGGCGAAAAGCCAATACATAGTCACGTGGGTTCTCTGGCGCGATTGGCAGTCCATGCATGCCGGTAAAAACTTGTTCTCAGTGCTTCCGCCGAAGATCGCCGGGTCGCGACCGCCGAAGGACCTGCGGGATTACAAATTATTTCTCGTTTTACATTACGGTTAGGTGCAACGTGAAAAAAATAAATGAATAAAATAAAATACTAATCTAACAGTGGGGGAATGTATTTTCTGTTCTGTCTCCGATAACAAGCTATAGAGTAAAGAAAATTCATTATTAGCTTTTTCATAAGCAGTCACAAACTAAAATTAAACATTTATCTTGCGAAACTTCAGTCTTCAATATACTCATTTGAAATTGAAATTGCAAAACGGTCCTGTTTGTCATTCATTTAAAATATCTATCTATAAAAAAGTTTAGCTTAGATGGTCTTCTTCTTCTTTTTTTACTTTTTTTTTTTTTAATGAAGATTTTTTTAACGAACGATAACTGTTTTACATGATTTCGTATAAAATGCCATTCCATTCTCATTAAGGCATTACTTTAATAGGCACTAAAATAGCTCTTTGCACACACACACACACGCGGGAAAAATGAATTACTGTTTTTCTTGTGGGATAATAAAAAGTGTGCATATATGTTTAATGGGGTTAATCACTGAATACTACATAAAATTATTAGTAAGTATAATTCAAGCCTTAAGATCTTCATTTTGTTATTGGTTGATCAAAACCTCTTCTTTATTTTCTTCACCTTCAACTCAAATTCAAAGAGTTTATAAAAATTATATGCGTTTATTTTATTTTCTCGCATTGGATAACTTTTTTCTACTATTTTCTATAAAATATTTTATTATATTTTATTATATTTTACACCATTTTAGTTCCATAATAAAACTGACAGCTATTTTGAATGAAATATTATGGGGAGAAACTGGGAAAATTTGGTTACGATTTTTATAATATTAATACAACGCTCCGAATATATTCTGTACCAGAGATGGGCTTAGGTATTTTCTCACTAGAGGCAAAAAGGAAAAATGCACGTTATTAATATACAATCAAATTAACTGTATCTGAATGTATTTATATTCAATAAAAAGAAGTATATTAAATCATACCAAAACTTTTACAGTACTTTTAAATCGTAGCTTTATGTTTTCAGAAAACTAATACAACTAATAATTTTTAAATGAAAACGTTAAAAAGTTCTCTTTTGATAAGTTGCAAATGGCATTCAAATAATGTAATTCATGCAGCGATTTATTTATGGTTCTTTTGAATTTCTTGGCAACATTCCAAAAGATAAATCACGCGCTAGAATTCTAAAGTGGTAACGGTGGATTACTTTTGCTGATCACTGAGTAACGTTATTAAGAACAGGCAAGTTCGTGCAAATGGTTTTCTCCCATAGGAATTCTTTTTCTCATAAGAATATGTGTTCATAATATGTTTCTCTTCAATAAAAATACATCGGCTCACATTTGTTTTTGGACACTTCTATTTTTGAAATTGTGTAGATCTGTTGTTGCTAGTGCTCACTTGTCTGCCCTATAGTCAGCCCAAGCCCACGAAATTCCTGGTGGCAAAGAGCGCTCCTCTTCCCCTACCATCAGCCTCTCAAGAGGATTTTCGGCTCGTCGCATATTTAGACTGATCCCATGCCGCACGGACACTATTTATTTACAAACATCCATGCCTCCTCCGGGATTCGAACCCGGATCATTCGGCACGACAGTCAGCGACGCTAACAACTATACCTGTTAGGCGGCATTTGTGTTAAAATTTGTACCTTATATTTGAAGCATATACATAAATATTTTTGAAGCATATACATAAATATTTTTCTAATATATTATTTTTCTCTATTTTATGCCATGCTTGCTGCACAATAAATACCATCAAAATATTCCGTGCAATAAAATAATTTATTCAAAGTGTTAATCAATAACTCACATAATAATGCGGACACTCCAAAGTTTTGCTAAGATGTTCCGGAAGACTATGTTTCTTGTCAATTATCGTCTGCCTTTGGAAATTATTACTTTAATTACTTGTTAGAGATAACTGTGGGAAAAAAAAGAATGTCTAGAACAGCAAAGACAGCGGAAACTCTGGATCCTCATATAACATTTCTTCTCATCAAAATACGCAAAGTTTTGTGACTACAGCGTTTAAAAAACTTTTTTTTTTCTAATGGCATATTGTCAACAATTACAAACTTATAACCATGCCTTCTCCGGGATTCGAACCCAGGAACTTCGGTATCGCAGTCAGCTTTCCTGACTACTATACCGACTGGGCGGCGCGTTTAAAAAACTTACTACCACAGTCTGGTGGAGCAATGATCTTCAAACGCAGCAACACAAATGCAAGGCCATAAGATAGAAACTAAAAAAATGTGACAGAGGATGATATAAGTGAACTCCATCTTCAGAAATTAAGGAAAGAGAGGGCCATTTATAAAAATATGCTTGTAAGAGCTAAGGAACAAAGTTCGAAAGATACCCAAACTACAGAAGCACTTGTTTTTTGCATAAAATGACGACTAACAAAACATATAAACCATGCCACTCCCACTCTCAACCTGGGTAAACTACAAACAGTAACACAGAACATACGCTTAATACAATATTGAGCTCCGAGTGATTTTTCAAATTACAATTTGATTTATTTTTAAATTTCATCAAAATATATGTAAAAAAAATGCTAAGGAAGTTAACGTTTAGTTTATCTACATATAAAGTTGTATTCAACAAAATGTACATCATTTAAAAAAGATACTTGAACTCGTTACATTTTATAAAAACACAGTTATGGAATTAGATTGGATTTTATGGATTATGGCAAGTCCGACTAAGGGGACTGAGGTGACTACCTGAGGAAAGGGCTGCTTTTGTTACCGTGAAAGACCAAAATCTGGAGAATTTCGACATTCTTCGGTGGATGTCAGCATTCACATAGTCGCTTGGTGTACATCCGAAATATTTGCTAAATATTCTTATTTTCCACTTACACCGGCAGATATCGATACTCACCATGCACTAATAGTGACAGTTGAGTAAAAGTGGTATTGTCACCTCTTTAAATTATGTATGATTATTAAAACATATTATGATAAATGTCAAAATAGGAGAAAGCCTAAGCAACAGCACATGTAAATAAGCTGTTCAATTTAAAAGAACAGTACATTCTAAATGAGAAAAGAAAATAGCACTAAAAAGTAATTTTGCTTGCTTATGTATTTCACATTATACAATCTTATTTATTGCAACAATTTAAACAGTTATGACACTTTAAATTGCGTAAGTGTCCTTTGCTTTTACGAGGTTTTTCTATGTGTCTTCTCGCTTCGACCTTTACCACAACATATTTGTGTCTGTCGACGTACATCGGTGATGGTCCGAATGCATAAGAATATAACGAAATATTCGGTTTTTCACCAACGTATTTGATATGTGTTGAAATTCACCTGAGAATATCGATAGTCTCCAATTCAGGTCTTTCACGGTAAAACCTTCATTAAATACGAGTACTTTAATATAAATTGTCTAGTATTTACGTTGCACACGACGAAAACCTCAAAAAATCACATACAGTTAAGCCTGTTGTTTGAAACCAGGTCGAACAGCTAATGTTCAGCAACTTCACCGCTTGACAGCTGGTGGACTCAGTCGCTGTCGTAGAGCACTTTTTAAATATGCAGTGAAAATTGTCTGTCACAGTTGAGAAGTTTTAGAACTTTAGAAAGTGAATTATAATTTTAAAAATTAAATAAAGAGATCAGAGATTTATTCGTAAAATAATAAATATTTCTTGAGAATATTAGAATTTTTATGACTCATAGTTAAAAAGTACTTTTTAATTTGTTGTATCTCTTATATTTGCAGTATTAACTTACACGTCTTGTATTTGTAATGTTAACATTTGTAATAAACTTACGCGTCCCGTTGTTTTATTCTTCACTGCCATTGTAAAAATTTATTGAACGTTAGATCTCAAGTTCTTACAAACGTTTCGAAACTATGGTCATGTAATTTTCGATTATTTTCACTTAAACAACGAAATTACTCAAATTAACTAAAAATTACACCAAATGGATAGTGGTTGATACATTTTGTTTACAGCATAACATTACGATCTAACGGCCCATAACTCCTTTTTTAAAAAACCTGTTCTGTAATTCGTCCAAAACAAAAGAGGCTTAGCGCCAAGTAAACTTGACGCACTGTCACTACTTAAAAATGTAGGTAGGCGAATAATTGTGCTGTATAAATAGTAGGGAAAGACACCTGCATTCTTTTATTTAAAATTTGTATCATTTTACGTTGTGTTTTAATCATTCTTGTACTTGTTTACCTTCATTCTTTCTTGCTTTTCATTTAAACTCCGTACCATTTTAAGTTTTAATCATTTTTGCACTTGTTTACCTTCATTCTTTCTTACTTGTTTACTTACACTATGCCGCAAAGTTTTAAATAAATAATAATAAAAAAAAAAAAAAAACATGCGGCTTTGTAATATCAATTGAAGTTTCTGTTATTATTATTTCCAAAAACTTCGCAAATTTTCAATGATCTTTACAGAATATTTTGCTGGGAAAATATTAAAAAAATCTGAAAGGTTTCAGATTTTAAAAATTACGTCCAAATAGGTGTTTTTTTTAACGTTTTGTGTATTACCTTTATTTATTAAATATCATGTTCTTCGCACTTAAACCATAAAATTGAGTTCAACAGCAATATCGCAAAATAATTAAAAAAATCTGATGTGTACACCACATGACTTCCTTGTACGGAATATTAAATTATACGCATTTTCTCTTGCATTTCATTTAAACTTATTGGATTGAATTAAATCTACTTCGCCGACAGCGCATAAACCACAATAGAATAAATGCATTCTTTAAAATTCACTCTAGTATTTGTTTACCATAGCGACACTCTGGCGCTAGATTCACTTAACAGTATTAT